AGAATGCCAGCTGTGACACCAAGGCCGCTCAGCCCGGCTTGAACTTAAGAGACTACCAGTTGTGGCACCGAGATTGCCCTGCTTAGCACAAATTAAAAACATATAAGGCCGCAGCGATGTGATAATCTAATCCGGCCAAACTTTAGAAACCATTGTTTGAAGACGAAACAGTGTGAACGAGAGCGCAGTTAAAGAATAACTAGTCACTACAAAAAACCATTTGTTCAAGTGTCCATAAATTATTCCAAACGGGGAAAAGCAACCCATTGAAATGGAAAAGACAAACAAGATGGAGAATGGATTGGTTGCGAGAAGAATTTCCATTCATTTCCTTAAAAAAATACATAGAGCATTAGTTTACATGAAATACCCGTCAACCCAGCTATCAACTTTGCATGGTCGGACGGTGTCAAAAATTCTTAAAAAAAAAAATAAGATGCAAATAAAAACAACAAATATATACAAGAGCTTAAAAAGTCATAGATATGTTGCAGTTGTCGGTTTCGCTCCCTCCAGGCTTGTTCATCTCGTCGTCATTAGAATTCACGAAGAGGGTGGCTAAGTTGTCCATATCGCCCAACTTCTTGTCTATCAGGCCAGACTTTACTAAACTTTCTGCAACGATAACAAGACCTACCTTGATCTGATCCGAGAGCGCCACCACGCGGTCATCTCTTGGGATCATTCTTAGCACGTGGGCTTCCAATTCCTTGTTCATGGCTGCCAAGTTGGTAATGGTTTGTTTGTATTCCTCAGCCTTAGCCTCCCACGCCTGAGCCGAATCTTTTAATTTCTTCCACAGGCATAGGAGCTCCAGTTCTACCTCCTCTTACCCTCAAATATTTTAGCCACCATTTGGCTCATGGATTTCCTTTTTTACTCCTCATGCATCAAGGCTTTCGCGTGATAGTGGGAGACAGAGAGGGTCAAGGTGTTGCAGCGGTTAGATGTCTCCCGTAAGGCCGAGTAGGACAGGCCTGCCAAGACTGAGTTCAGATTATCCAACCGCATCACCTCTGTTAAGTAACCGGGGAGATCAACCAACTCCCTAGGAGTGAGGCCGGTGAATCAATCCCGTAGGGTGTCCACCATCAGAAACCTCCCCCTCGAGCTCTCGTAGACATTGTTAGAGCTGTCCAACCAGGCGATCCACCCCAGAGGCATTTTCTTATCATTTGACGAGGGTGGGGGCAGAGCTGATTCCTCCTCTACGGATATCTTCCCTTCAGGCCCAGTCGGCCCTCTCCAAAGGTTCACCCTCAAAACTAGAGTCTCCTCCAGAGAATGGAACGATCAGTAAGGGAGACACAAGTTGTGCGATAGCTTTGTCCCTTGGGTCGATGTAGGCGGCACCCATACCCCACTCCTTGACCGGTTGACTCAGGGAAACCTCCTCTTTAGAGGCGACTCATGTGACTTCAATGTCTCAGATGGAGTCTCTCGCGACACAGCCGAGGTCCCTGCACCCACTAAAGCGTTCAAGATAAAAAAGAACAGAGAAAGAAAGAAGGGCGGAACAGAGGTAATTTCTTCTGCCGGCATCGAGCTTTCTCGAGGGTCTCAGACGGACAACAAGCCTAAGGGCTTCTTTGCTTTGGGTCTCTTTTCCTCGACCTTATCTCCACCGCCGCCACCTTTTCTCTTTTTCATCCGACTCCTCCCAAAGGCTCTCAGTCACGTCTCTAGAGGTTCCAAGCTAGAGGACCCTATCGACGACATCTCAATCAATAAAATGGTATAACCTCAATCATGTCTGCATAGACATGAGCGTGCTCTGGTAGCATTTTCGGCCTCACTACCTCCTTGGTAACTGACCTGATGCGAATCTCCCAAGCACTGTGGTGTGACGATCACAAATTTTGATTGCCAGTCCTTCAACTTCTTGTCGACCCCTACCACCCGAAGCTTAGAGTCGGATGAGACACTGTATGACCATTCCGATCAACCTTGAAGCCGAAGAATTAAAAAGCTACTCGATAGACCAAGGAATCTCAATCCGCCGGAGATAAATGACGAAGGTCATTATTATTGCAATAGAGTTCGGTGTAACTTGAGCGGGGATAATGTCGTACTGTTGAAAATGGACCTCACCTCGTTGCGGAACGACAACCTCAACCTGTATTTGAATTGTTCGACGTAAACGACCAAGTTGTCACCATAGTTTCTTGTCGGCCATTCCCCTTTGGCAACTGTGCGGAATTGGATATCCGACCCCAAAAGCATAAAACTTAAGCAGGGTCACTGTCCGCCTCTACGAAATAACTAACAACACATTGAGGGAGTTCACATTGAAGATTTAGAAGAGTATCTAGGAGCCATGACGTGATGAAAAGGAGAAGGAAGTCACACAAAAGAAAGGAAAAGTATTGTGTGAGGAGCTCGACACCCCTTTCACTAACTTATAATATAAAGTAGGAGACGAAACGCCTCAAGGGCAATACAGTATTTTCATCACATCAAAATGTGCGAAAAGTGTTAAATCAAATGCGCATATCGATGAATCAATAAGTGCTTATGAAAACAAGGATATATAGATGTTGAATAACAAAATAAAACATATATGTATAAATCAGTTCACGAAATAAAATATATTTACACTCGTTTCACCCGCTTACAATCATTTTCACAAAATTATCGGTCATCGTTTCGGCCGGGATGTATCCCAACTGAGACAACCACTTGAACATTAACTCTTCCCCCATCCTAACCTTATCCACTCTATTCATTTCAGCATGGAAATGAGAGACCGAAACTTCCTCTAGGACGACAACAATTTATCCTTCAAAGACATCATCTTCCTTTGAAGAGCATCTTCTCGAGTTTGGATTGTAGTTAACTCCTCTAGCAGCCCTAGCAATGCGTAGCGAAGGAGTCCCTCCTAAAAAAGCAAAACCTGAGCCAGAACATATGGTTCTGGAATGCCGTCTGGAATGCCGATCCAGTCTCACTGATGTATCACAAGGCGTCCCTCCAGAGCACACAAAATCCTCAACAGATTCAAAATCTACCGCAATGTAGATTTTTGGAGCCCTAGCTCGAGAAGGGGAGGAGTCTTAGTTCCCTTGCCTGAGGATGGGTCCATCAACAGGTCCAGGTCAGAAGTAGAATGTTTCTACTCCGACCTACTTTCCCATCGACGAGTGTTGGGAGGCGAAGTGAGAGGCCATGGACATAAAAGGACGAGAGAAACTCCCTGCTCGCTCGCTGCCTACACTTTCGGAAGAAAAAGGTCAATGGTAGGTTCTTGACTCACTCCCTCCCTCAACTCTGGAAAGCTCGGAGGAAGAGTTATTTGGCCCGCCTAATCGTCTTCCGGACGGTTCCTATCCATCACACGCCGTTTCTTCACTGGGAAGCCGCTCTCCGCCATCTATGAACCTTCTGCGAAGCGGCCATTATTCGAGTCAGAATATCTTTTTTCAACCACTAGGCTAGAATCCCTCGCCTCGGCTGTGGTGCGTTTTCTTGGCTGCACGATCTTTGAGCTAGATCTCGCCCACTTCTTCATAGTCAGGAACACCAAAGCTCGAGCTTCCTCACCAACGGACTTTGGAAACTTTCCCCATTCCATACTCGACACCACTTAAGAAATGGGAGAGGAATTTGAAAGCACACTCAAAAGATAAATAGACACACCACATTTCAAATAATCTTGGCACCAAAATTAGAAGTGATTAATTATTGCGCACTAAATAGCCATAAATATCATAACTTATCTCAAAATTTAGATTCTCTTGTCCTAATCGCTATTGTCTCTATAAAGGAGCAAAAGAATTGGGGAACTCTAATATGTACATCGAAAATAGACCAGCACGAATTGCAGAGACATCTCGTGGATGTCGGAGGAAGTGACATGGCCCCGCTGGATCTATCTAGGACGACCCAGGATTACACTCTTAGTCGGCTAGTCCCATGTACCAGGAAGCGACACATGTCAGACAGATGAGGGGAAAATCGAGGAAGTGAAACGGATCCTCCAGCTCCAAGTCAATTGATGTGGACCTTCAACAAACGGCCATCCGACCTCATGGCCACTCGGTCTCATAGCCTTCCGGCCACACCCATGGATCCCATGGGTAATATTCATGTACGGAATAGTATACTCATGCCATGCCATACCTACGTACATTAGGAGTATAGTGTGTAAATGTACAACCCATTTCTATAAATAGTTTCATTTCATGAATTAAAGGTTTCACAAATTTATCGTTCATTATTATGTTATTGCTCTCCCCTCTCCCTACCATCCTTCCAACGCTTTATTCTTTAGGGAGGCCTTCCGGACAGATTTGGATTCAACAATCACCGTGGCCTTGTTTTGATTATTCTTGTTTGCAACTAGTAACTACCATAACTTTCCTTCTATAGATCATATATAAGAATATCGATGTTCTATTTGGTCTTAAGGTTTATTTAGAGTTGAGACCAACAAATTAGATAACTATATACTGAACAATGAGACTGAAAGTCTAAATTCAAAATCTGTATAGGAGGTCCACAAAGAACTCAAGGTAGTGTTTGGTAGCATACTATTAGTAGGATTTAATGATGGATTTATTTTAAATCAAGCCAAACACCAAAAAATTGAATATTAAATGCAACGCTCTGTTAAATCGAATTTTCCTGCGTTCTGTTTGTTTTTCCTCGCGTTCCTTCTCTTTCTTGACATAAATATGGATTTATTAAATCCGATTGTGAGGGTAATTTATTTGCGAACTCCACTCTCGAAGATAAAACCAGATTTATCAGATTTAAGAAATCTACTTGATGTAAATCTAAATTGCAGCCCAACACTAATAATAAGGCATGTTTAACAAAAAAAAAAAAAAAAACTGTACTTACCACTTTTGACAAAAAGCTAAAACAACATGAGTTTTCTGAATTTGTAGGCATGGATCATACAAGGATATGCAAATGATGATTTTTGCGAGTCAGCATTCTTCTTATTCTTTTTTTTTTTCTATCTGGTTTTGGCAATCACACTTTTTATTTTTCTCCAGGTTTTTGTGGAAGTGATCACTGTCCTGTTTCACTCGAACTTTCAGAATTAAGTTGAATATCCACAGGTTTGCATGTTTGCAAACTTTGGATTTGAAGGGCTTGAATTTTCAAATATCATGGGCATCATTATCATCTGTTTTTGAGGCAAAGTTTTATTGCTAATTATTTTGTTGTGTGAAAGGAACAAGGATATTGTAATTTTTGTAGTGCTTTAGAATGAGGTACGATGCATAATATGTTCCTCATCCTCTAGGCTTTGTGCTTGATTTTTCTTTCTTTTTTTTTTTGGTCCTTCCTCTAGACTGATACGTATCTTTTGCTTCTTAGCAGTCATCAATAACATTATGAGATAATGATCTGATCTGTAATGAAGATGAATGCCAAATTATGGTTTTGGCATATTGCACTCAAAACTGCAAATGAGGTATCATCTCAAAATCCCAATTATAGTGGAGATTCTATTGCTAAATTTGACACCTTGTTTTGACCTTGAGAGAGAAGTTAGTGGAAAACAAGAGAGAGAGAGAGAGAGAGAGAGAGAGAGAGAGAGAGAGAGAGAGAGAGAGAGAGAGAGAGAGAGAGAGAGAGAGAGAGAGAGAGAGAGAGAGAGAGAGAGAGAGAGAGAGAGAGAGAGAGAGAGAGAGAGAGAGAGAGAGAGATTAAGAGTAATTATATGAATAATTTGAATTTGCCTTGATTCATATTCGATCATATTTGTTCAAATTAGTAAATAAACAAGTTTGAATATTTTATTAAAACTCAAAAGTCAAATGAACAAAATTTAAATATTGTTCAATTCATTTATTATTGTTGAAGTATAAGCTTATTATTGTTTAACAAGTTAAATATTTTATATATATAATATTTTTTTAAAATAATAATAATTAACTGAAATTTCCATAATTACATGTTTAATATAATATGCATATAAATTTAGTGCACGTTTCTTTATATGAATTAAATTGATAGTGCTTGCATGTCATGAAAGTTTATTTATAACTCATCATGTTATGTATTTGATATAAATAGGTTGTTAATTTAAAATTTATTTAGCTAATTATTTATTTAGGTTTGTAAAATTATTTCTAAGAATAAGTACTCATTTCTATTTTTAATTTATTTGTTAGTTTTTTAATAGAAAATAAAATATTGATTGAGTTTTTTAAACTTATTCAATTAATAAAAATAAATCAGGTATGAACAGGCCTGAAAGGTTGGCTTATGCTGGCTCAAGCTTGAATTGAAAATATATAACTTATGATTTGCCTTGGCAAGTTTAATCCTTGACATACTTAGAGGTTGCTTGATTTCATAATAGTTTTGTTTTATTGTGCAAATGGCTCATAACTATACTAAGATAAATTAATTAACAGTACAACGCAGCAAGATCTTTTTAAGGTGTCATTATCTAATGATTGGTCCAATAATTTAATTTTCTTCATAACTTGGTTTATTTTCATCCATATACTAGAGTTTGGTAATGATAAATTTATAGAAACTTTAATTTGAAAATTTAAATATGAAGATAATAAAAATATGATGCTCGAAAAAAAACTTGCAATATATAATGTATGGCCATCATTTGAAAATGTTGAATGTTGCATTATTATTGAAATTATATGATAATGTTTTCTAAATATAAGTGATTATGGCCATCTTTCTTTTTTTTTTTTAATAAATCCTGTAGGGAATTTTATTTCAACTAAACAATACAGTAAGAGTCAAGAGGAACATACTACACACCCTAATTAACTCACTCAAGAAAAGAAAAATCAAAGGCTATTCTCCATGAAAATTGAAAAATACATTTCATTCCACCTATGAACCCAAAAAAAAAAAAAAACACAAAAAACAAATAAACATATTAAAGTAAATCAGCATACACAAGATGCTTAAGAACCATTGAAACATTCGTAGAAATAACAGCATATGTAAGAAAGCTCTCTAGCTTAGCTGTCTAGTTAGCAACTCTGTTTCCATCTCTTCTTGTATGAGTCCAACACACGCTCATTCCTTTAGTTAAATCCACGATGTTCTTCATTTGTATATTTAAGCTCTAATGATGCTCTTCCTGCAACCTGCAATTCTTCCACAATAATAATGAGTTTGTCAATAAAGCAAACACTGCGTCATCAGTATTATAGCTATCTTTCATTAACTGATTTCTAATTCAATTTTATAATCAATATATAATTAGCAAAGATAAAGTAAATATTTTTTTTCTTTTTTTTTTAAATAAATAAGTTTGATTTCAAGGAAGAATGTATTTAATTATAGTGAATATTGAGAAATTTTTGTGATTTATGTAAAATTAAATTTCATAGAAGTAAAAAATAATATTGATTCACGGAAAGATAAATTATAATGTAAAGTTAAAATAATTATTCTATAAAATTATTGATTACATTGTTAATAAATTTATTTTAGAAGAATAAAATAAATAAATTCATTATTGGTGCTATATAATGCATAATGTAAATTCTATTATCAATATAGATTATGTTAGTTATAAGGAAATCAATTTTTTATCTTGATTTAAGAAAAGAAATTAATAAGTGGTCAAACAGATTCGACATCGCATTCGACAGACGGTTTGTAGTAGTATATGTTATCTAATCATGAACTTTTAAGAGGACCCTCTCGAACACTTCTATTTTTTTTTCATTTATTTATTAATTTATATCTTGGTTTATGTTTTTATTAGAAATTTTTATCCTAAAAGAGAAAGAGTACAAGATTTACATATAACCAAGTTCTTGAATATTTCCATAATTTTACACTTAAATTTTATATGCATCTATATAATATGTTAATATCCAGATCACATTAATATATATGCATATACACATTATCTGGCCTCTAAATCATTATACTTATTTAACTAAAATTTGGATCACTAAATCACATTTAGATATTTTTCATGAAAAACACAATTGAATTTAAATAAGTTAATACTAACAATATTTTTTATTATCTAAATATTAATATTTAATATAGAGGTAAATATAAAGTTTTAGAAGATATGTCCATAAATATATAAAATTTGAGATGTAAATCCTTTTTTTAAATATAAAGCAAAGTTTAGGTGTTAGATATGCAAATACATAGGAATTGGGCGATATTTACGTAAATGCCTCTTATATATTACAAATCTAACACCTTAATTTCAGTTTTTTCGTACAAAACATTTTGTTTTTTATTTCTTTTGATCTAAATATGTTATGTGGTTCATATCTTTTGAACTCGAAAGAGTTGACTTTTGGAGAGAATTTTTGAGGGAATTTTGAATTCTTTTTGAAAGGAGGTAGCCCAAAATAAAAGAGAAAGATTTCAAGGAGTTGAAAGGGGAGACAAAAAGGACAAGAAAGTGGGGGTGGCGTGAAAGGCAAAGAGAGAAGAAGAGGAGATTTTCTTCTAGGGTTGTAAGAGGAAAGAGAATGTGAGAATGTGAGAGATTTCTTCTTTCTTCTTCATTACACTTCTAAGAGAAATTTGAGTGAGCTTGGAAAGAGAGAAAGACTTGAGAGAGCTTCTAGAGATTTGCTTGGGAAGGATTGTGAGATAAGTTATGTCTTTTATTTCTTTTGTTTTGTAAAATTATTTTTATATATGAAATCCGTGTTTTGTCGTATCCTTATGAATTCCAAGTAGCCTTTTTTATCCTTCTCACTACTTTGAAATATGGTTTTGTGAAGAATTGATTTTGTTTTCTATGATTTTAAATGTTAATAATTTATGATGATTTGAACTCTTATCTTCATTTACATTTCGATCTGGCCAATTGAAATGTTAAAACAAGTTGAGAAACATATGTTCTGAAAAGGGCTATGATTTCTATAATAGAGGGAGAATCACATTTGATTTCATGGGAGAGTATGTTATCCATGAAATTGAGTGCAAATAAATAGAGAAATATACTATGGATGCAAAATTGGAGATTATTTTAAGGTGATAGATTAAAACCCCCAATTTAGTCTAGTCTAGTTGATTGGAAACTGATGCGAAACTAATGCAAGCATGTTAGCCCTCAGGTGAGGGAGTAGTGAGAGCTCTAGAGTGGTAGCTAGTATCCTCCCAGCCTAACCACAAAATTAGGGACCAAACTTAAGATTAGTCAATGTTCATTATTCACTCTCAGAGGATAAAGAATAGGAATTACCCTATCAGATTTCTCCTATTCGACAAAAAACATTTTATATATATATATATTCAAATGATTTTAATTTCTTCATAATCCATATACTCATTCAAAAGTATTCTCATATTCTTTTGATGCTTTCTTAAATTTGAATCTTCCATCAACAAAAACTTTGTTTAATTTTCGTAATTTTACTTTTGAAAGTTTAGTTTTTTGTTAGTTAACTTTGTCTTTCAACTGCATTTTATATAGCATTTCGTTTAGTAGTTAATATTTAAAGTTCACACTTTAATTTTATTTTTTTATTTTTAAATTATAAAATAATTTTAAGAATTTACTTATAGGTTTTTCCAACTTCTCTATGGAATTGATATCTAGGACTCCATTAGAGCCCTTTATTACTTGAGCGATACGTATACTTGCGTTGATTTTGAAGGGGATTTGACAGTTTAAAAAGAGTTTTAAAGATAAATTATTTTCATAAAAGATATTTTTGTTGGGATTATATTGCATATTAATTGTTATATTTGTCATGTGTATTTTGTAATATTGAAAGATATTAGCAAAATTTACACACTAAATCTACCCTCATCAGTGAGTTATGTAACAAAGTCTTATGACCTCAATGTAAAAACTTCCTATCATAAATAAAAATTTAGTTTTGCAAATTTCCAAATTTATTATTTTCCTTTCATGAATTTCACATGATTTGGTGTAAGTTTTTGGAGATTAAGGTACTTATTTGAGACATTTTGAATTCCATTAATGTATTGCCTATAAGAGTAAGAAAAAAAGAGTTTGAACTTTTCAAATCTCCCTTTTCTATCTCTTCAGCCATTTTTTTCCCTCCTTTGGGTCGGTTTACTTCAAGCATTTCTCATGGCTTTCTAGTACTCTACGCATCTATGTGGTTTGATGCCAACGAGCAAAAGGTCTATCCTTAAAATAATTTGATGCAGAGCTTATGAAATATACTTTTATATACAACATAAGTATAGAGCTTAAGGCGGTGGATCCAGAGGTTAGGAAGACAAATTATTTTGGTGATGATCTAATCTTATATCGGGATCAGTTTTGGGTGGATCCTTGACTACCTTTTGGTCATGAGATTCAATTGATTATCAACCATTACAGAGTCATCCCCACACAGATAATGCCAAATTCAATCGTGGTTGTGATGACCTTTACATCTAGTTTTGACATATGAAGATCCCTTAATCTTTAGAGTGGTTCTTGTACATGGTCTTTTTTAGAGTGGAGCCCGATTGTTTCGTTGTATTTAGGTCGACTCAAAAGTTTCATCAGATTGATCCGAAGAATAAAATTAAAGATTGAAAGTTTTGGTTCATCTTGAGAATTTATGAAGAGTGGGGGGTGACCCGACCCACAATTACACAGTAATT